CAGTTATGAACAGTTTTTATTGACACATGAAACTGTCTATTTTATTAGACTGTCATTTCAGCTATATTAATTAAGTGACAAAAGGTAGCTAACTGGAATACATTGACAACTGTTACTGCTGCTTCATTATGTGTATATAGTAAAATAACTTTGATAATAGTTTTGATCAATTGTAATGTTACGGTATTTCTGGTGATATGACCCTTACATTTATGTATGTTAAGGATCTGCCACAAAGATTCTAGATTTAGGACAGGTTCCACTGTAAGATAAAGTAAAAAATTGTCATATATTTGTATAATAATTAAAATTTATATATTTTGGAGAGTGTAAGAAATGTTCACATGTCTTCATATACTAGTAATTAAATCGTAACATTTTGAAGAAAAAAAGCTATTGCTACAGTCATGTTGCCGCTACCGTTTGTAAACTTTAACACTGGCCATTTTTTAAGTTACTCAATGTCTTCGTACTTGGACGCAACAACCTTTTGGACAAGAGCTTAAAGTAGACAACACTGAAATTGACTTTTACTCTTAAATGACCTTGACCTTCAAGGTCAAATGATTGAATTTTGCTAGATTTTTGTTAACATTGGCTATAACTTTGTTACTTATGTTTTGATTGTCTTCATACCTGGGTACAACAATCCTTTTGAGAAGACCTTCAAGTTGACTTAAGTGACCTTGACCTTCAATCATTACTGACCTTGACCTTGAAGATCAAATTACTGAATTTTGCCTGATTATTTTTTTTTGCCATTATTTGCTATAACTTTGTTATTTATGAATACAGTTATACAGTTCTTTTGCTATAATTGGCTATAACTTTGTAAGTAAATGGATTGTCTTCATACTTTAGCACAACAATCTTTAGGACAAGACAAGTTTTAATTGAACTTGACCTTAACTGGTAATACGATGTTACACCCTAAGATATTTTATGCTGGAAATTACAATGTTACTTGCACACACTTTATTTCTACTTTATATCTAAGAAAGAAAAAAGACCATACAAAATAGAAAAATAAATAGTTTTATATTCCATTGTATGAAATAATGCATCAAATAGGTCAAGAGTAAAGAAAGTGAATAGATTACAGCTACAATTTATTTTATTATTAACAGAATTTTTGGCCAATGGTAAAAAGGAATAATTTTAATATTTTTTTTATAACAATGAACAAACAAAAAACATCTGTTGTAAGGTGAGTGTTTTGTTTTAATTCTTTGAGATATATAAAACAGTGGTATCTTCTAATGCTCTATAATGTCTTATTTTTTCATCAATCTGATTTCAAAAAGTTATAAAGTAACCATTACCACACTATGAACTTAAACATCTCATTATCTGATACATTCTTTCGCAAAATACATAGCAAATTAACTAAAATATGTGACTTTGTCTCAATCATTTGTAGGTTTATGGTTGATATTTGTTCACCTGTACTAATTCAGAAATAATCAACCAAGGAAATATGAATTAACGAGTAATACACATCAACACCAGAGCAAGTTTACAATATTTTATTTGTGTCTACTAGTTTCGGTCTATACGACCTTCAACAGGACAATTTTAATAAAAATTTTGTCTCTTTAAGGTGGTAAAAAAACGGCTATGTAATATGACGTATGTTACTAAATATAGATATATTGTTACTTAAAATAGAATTAATATTGGCAATATGCCAATAAATTATTTAAATGCTGGTCTATTATTTATAGAGTTCTTAATTGTTAGTGAAAAGTCCATATATTCTATTTACATTGATTATAAGTTCATTGTCCGAGTTAAAACAAAGGTACTCATCCTGACAGATGGTTTCAGAGCTTGTGCTGGGGCTTGCCGGTATTGGTAATATAGGGTTCGGTATGTTGAAGACCAACAATCAGAAATATTTAGATCTCATTTCCTTGATTATTTCATTTATACCAAAACTATTATACTGAAACTATTTTCACTGGTAGAATTTACAAATTAATTGAATTTTGAAATGGAAGTTTTTCTGTGACTGACCATCTGCTGGTGATTATTGATGAAATAATTTTGTCCTGGTCAATATTGTGCTGTGTGAAGTAGCTTCTGTGTCAATAAAATGTTTACCATCATCATTATTTAAGTGACCAGCTGGCTGTTATTGAGATTTGTATTGTCATGTTGCATGTGTCACATGATATTTGCTATTGTGTGATAATTACAACAATTAGTCCTTATAGACCTACAATGGAATGATAAATAGTGATTCTAGTGCTTGTTTCCAATAATGCTGTACTATATTAAAGTTCCCTCTCATGATTATACTATGTTGTTATTCCAGAAAGAGGCTTTAGTGGTACTCACAATTGGTAATTACAGTGGACTAAGATAAGCAGATAATTGGCTATGTAAACAATAGGTGTTCAGGTATATGTAATCAAAGGATACCTATATACTGTATTTTGCAAATTTTAATCGGTATATGTATACATATTTGCATACACCTTCCCCTTGTTGAAATATTTCCATGTATATATTGTTGTGAGGTAGTAGGAAAGATATTTAAATTAATTTACAAATGTATCATAAAAACTTAATAATTAAACACCTTATAATTGCTATAATTGTAATTAGAGTATGGTGGAAACTATGATAAATGAAATTACAGATTACCTACCGGTATGTTACTTGGCAAGTCAGTGATAATTAATACTGCACCATACCTTGCTATACAGTAGGATATACTCATTAATCATCTATTAGGAAAATAAATATTACACATGTATATTACACCTGGCTGATAAATGTGTGCACAAACTTCCACTTTTAACATATGATAAGGATTTATCAATCATTGCTATTGAATAGTGCTTGTAGATACTCACCTTGTTGGCCTTCAGGGCCTACCGTCAATTGTGTAACACTTTTTGCTTAATGGCTTAAAACTATTTGGCCTTGCTATCTTAAATATGTGATAAAAATTCTAAACTTGTAAATGTTTTTCTGATGTTAATTCATTCAAATTAGGATTTAATTAAGGTCAGTGCCCTTATTCGTTGGAATACATAGGTCAGGTAAACTAGTTATCTTATCTGAAATTCTCTATGCATTGTAAACTAAGTATGAAACAGGGAAAATATTTAAAAAAGTCACTGCTTTACTGATAAGGTAATGCATGTAAATAACAGTATAATTACTTTTGGACAGTGTGTTTTCTGTAGTTTTCTTAACTAAAGTTAGTTGTTAAGTGTTCACTAAAGATAAGAACTGAGTTATAAAGTTGTGTATATTATAAAATTCTACTGGAAGGTTACCAGGGTTTTCTGCAATCTGACTAAAGTTCAGATTTTCTTATGTTTACATATAGCTGATGTTAATCAGATTGTGTTTGTAGATTTTGAACAAGCTCTTAATGAAGAAAGGGATTTTACAGTGTTTGTGTACAAGCTGAAAGTGTTGAGAAAGTGAAGATAGGTAAAAGGCTTCAAAAGTTGTCAGAACTCTCTTTGATGAAATGTGCAAAGGAGAAGGTAGTTTGGAGTAGTGTTAGATATCACAGCCTCTTTATACTGGGAAAAATGTTTAGAAAAATATTGACAATAAACTTGTTTCTGGTTCATGGTACAAAATGTTTTTGTTTGTTGAAAACTGGAATAGAAAACAGTATAAAATCGAACAATAATGGGAAGATATCTGAAATTCAATGAGGCAAGCTTTGAAAATATTTGAAAATTTTAATCTTGAGAGAAAATAATTAGTCAAGGTAAAAAAGGTTGAAAACTGTCAGATTGCTTGCCCCCTGTAGTTTTTTGGTTTGAGAATATAAACTTTGGTGGATAGAAAATAGTAAGATAAAGATCAGAATCATTTTATATGTTGGTCTAAATTTTGTATTAAGATTTGTTATCATAATCTGATAAATGTTTTATGATCGCATGATGTCATGACTTAAATACCCATACTTAACCCATAATGTTGGTTAAATCACATGTTTGCTATAGGCTTGTTGAAGGATATTTGTTTTGAGTATCCTCTTGTAACTAAACAAAATCCCTTTAAGATGTGTATTTGTTAAGCTTTTTGCCGCCAGAATTAGGTTATGTTGTGTGGTTACTAAATATTGTCATTCAATGAAAATTAGATTTTGATGAATTAACATCATTTAGGATGATACACTGCTTTACAAAGGATTCAGGTATTTGATTGAATTCATGAAATATTTACATATTATGAAATTCACACAAATGTGCAACTTGTTTATGTTTCAGATTTGGGGTGAAGTTAGGTGTAACTTATCAGTACCATGTTAAGTTATATGTTTGTTAAAAAGGTTATTGACATGTTTATGAATTTTGTTATTTGATTGTCAAAAAACAAGTTTTAAAGTAATTTAAGTTAAATATTTTAATACATAAAAGGTAAAAAATTGGCTTTTTAAAGATTTTTTTGTTACAGTAACTCTATTTCATATAATAAAACAGTACATAAAGTATTAAAGAACCATGATGCATGCATCCATGGATAATTGTTTAGTGACATTATTTTAATGTACTGTGGTGTGTTCACCTCATTTAAATGGATACAACAGCACATTTAATGCCTCATTAATTGAAATATATTTCTTAAGTGTGTTACTTTAAGTGTTTATATATTTATGTAACAGGAAGGTTTAGAATATCTACATGGTTGATGTAAGTGTTGTTTCTTTATAAGATGCTCAAACATATTTTATTTGTTGAATTTAATTACCAGGGTGTTTGTTAAATGTGTTTACTGGTATTGACAAGATATCCATTTTGTTTAGCTGAATGGAGGAAAATATATGATATGCTTTAACTATGGCATACAGATTTTCAAAAAATTGTATAGTTAATTTTATAAACATTTATATTCAACATTTTTTATTAATGGTCAACTCTCTGTAGCAAATTGTGCATGCATATCAAACATCATTTCAGTTAACACAAAAAGTGTTTTTCCTTGTTATACTAAACCGGATAGTTTTATTGATTGATTTAATCACAATTCATCAGATATGGACAGCATCTTGGTTTTAATGAAATATTATATGGTGACTTATTATATTATATGTCTGTTACATGGCAAAGTATGATTTGATTTTGGGAGACAACCCATGTTTTGCCAGGGTTGGTAGATGAGGTGAAGAACAAAACATGTGCAACAATTGTTCAGCAGTATTAAAAAGAGAAAAATTGGAAATTTATAACAACAATAAGTTCAATACCAGATTGTATTGATTTTGGGACATGGCTGACTGGGAAAATAGCTGGAAAATATACTGGAAAGTGTAGTCTTGTTGTAGCTAGATACTGGATAAAAGCAAAAAACCCAATACTCCAGAAGTTGGCATAATATCTCTCTCCCAGAAAAATTATTCCTAGTGTATTTATTATGACAGTGTAGATAATATGAGTCACATAATTGTATGTGTACAACAGTCTGTGAACATTCTATTCAAGAGGAAACATTAGTTAGTGAGCCCTGCATTTATGTTAAACTTTCAATATTTGTGAATAGTGGAGATTAATGAAAACAGACAGCAATTTTAAAGTGTTAAATTTTCAAGACTTGTGGATTATTTTGGGGTATATTTTGCAGACGTTTGGGACTATCTCTGGCTTCTTGGTAGGTGAATCACTGTGTTTTGTCATATATAGAGACAAAGATGTATTGGTTACAGGTTGATTTAATTTATAGCATAGGCATATTTGAAGTACATATTTTATGTAGTAAACAGTTGCTGGATAGTTATTTTGTTCTTGATGATCAAGGGGTGATTATTTTATGATAATTTGACCATTATTGGCAGGGCAAATGTGCGATTGCCTGTGGCATAGCATGGAGTGAATGATATATGATTTTGTTGTTGATATAAATAATTATTCAATATTAAGCTAAGAAAAATCTAAATTAAAATGATGTCAGTAATTTCATCAGTTACACTAAAAACCATGTCAACCTAAGACTAAGTTTGAGCTGTTAGATTTTGGAACACTGAAGTCCCGTAATAGCTTGCAATACAATGCACAGAAATAAAGTGGCATAGAGAATAGTTAAATTTCTGTAGTATGGTCCAACAATACTGATATCAAAGTGAACCATATTTATTGTACTGCTAATGAATAATTACGAAACATGCAGCTTTGAACATGTTTGTGTAAAGTTTGTCCAGTATATAAAGGTATGTTGGTGTTAAAGTATACATGAGAATGTTGTTATGATTGGTAAGAATGATATGATGGCTGACATGTTTATTCTCAGGTTACTAACATAGATTCTCTGTTTCTCTCTGTATGTTAATGATAATTCAGTAGAGCTATAATGAGATTTATGTTAACTTGGAATAACTGAGTATTTAATGATTTATTGGATATTTTAGGGCTCATATACTTATCATACTTAACACTGACTGACCAGATGCACTCTGTTATATTACTGGTACATATACTTCAATCAGGTTTAAACCACAAACCCCTTCCATAAGTCAGCTGATCTACAGTCAGGGGCAAGTAATTTAAAGATATATTATGCTCTAATTTGATATCACGAATTATTGGTAATTGCTAAATAGTGTCTTTGTAAATATAAAATAAACATGTTTTGACTTCACACAAAGTAGATATGTCATGTATAAAACTCTACACACTATATGTGGTCACAATATGAATATATCACAATATGAATATATAGTGACGTTAAAAAAACAACTGGCAGTTTTTTTAAGGAAAGACCAACTTTACTTGTCCTGAAAAAGGGAACGCGACTTCCAATACATAGATAATTCTTTTTTTATTCAAATTAGACATATTCAGTGAGGATTTCATAGGTTTTAACAAAATGCTTTGATTAAAATATTTTACTCAAATATGAGCATAGTATATCTTTAAAGTCATTGACAGAGTATCTAAAATCTACCTTTGTTTCATACTTAAATTTGGTCTCCAAGTTATTCTGAGTTATAAACATTAATTTATTTCTAGCCCTGTATGTTATTTTAATTTTGTATTAAAATGTCCTTGGTAAATAGTGGGTAGGGATTATGTTGACATTTCATTTTTGTACCCAGTGTCCCCAGATCGGCAGATGTTTTGTGAAAACCAATTATCTAAAAAAAGGGGGCGAACAAAACCTAACAAAACACTATGTTTGAAATATGATATGTGAAAATAAGTTAGGTGGCTTTTATTAAATTCCATGGTCTGATAATCTGGTTTTGTGACATTAAATAGGAAATTTCATTTCACTTCACATGTAAGTTCATTTTTGTTTTGCTATTTGTTATCTTTAAATCTCATTAAAAATGTATTTCTTTAATCAATTTGAGATTTATCTGTTGTGTTTTACAGTAGTGGTACAGTGCCTGCTACAACATTTATGCTACTGCACTTAGGGCCACTAAAATTGTTGAAAGTCCTATTGAGGTTTATCTGTTTTCACATTTATAAGTAAGTTGGATAATTTTGTATTTGAATTTCTTTTTTTATGAAATTGACTGTTACATGTATTTTAATCTTTTGTGGTCAAAAACCAAAAATTCTGCATTTCAACAAATAACATGAGTGTATGTGTACTTTGGAAATAAACAGATGAATTTTAAAAATTTGAGGGGTCTGGGAAGTTATGAAACATGTATGGTTTCTGTATGGCAAGTATTATTCAATTATTTTATATTATTTTGTCCAGTAAGAATGATGCCATCAGTGTTTTTGTAAAATAATCAGGTACATGTATGTTGTTGTGAGTTTAGTGTCCTGGATGAAGTAAACATATTTAACTGTGACAGCATAGTCCTTGTATTGCCAGAGAATGTGGAAGATTATTTTGAGTAAACAAGGGGAATTATATGATCTAATGATGTGCCAAGAATCTGTAGGTGGTTTATTTGTAGTAACAGAAGTTAGATACAGAATGATGATACTAATACAGATGTTAATGTCAAATCATTTTATAATGTCATTAACAATGCTTCAGCCTTGTTAAGCATTAATGTCTTGATATTCCATGAATAGTTTAAAGGCCTGATAGATAAAGAGGTAGTCTAACCTGATGTTTTTCTTTTGGACTGTCAATTTCGCTACTCATTTATATTAAATTGTTATACATGTATAAAAAATTTAAGCTAGAACTTAATAAGATGTATAAATATGGTAACAATACTTGCAGTAAGTCCTTGTTCTCACATCATTATTATAGTGATAGATTACAACAAGTATGATGTCATCAATGATTGATGCAACTTTAACCAAATAGTAATATATATACATGAATTAAATCATGTAAACATGAGAGGATTCAGTTCTGTTGTTGATGTAGATAAACATGAGTTGAGTTATTCTGTTAATGTAGGAATACAAGAGTTCTGCTGTTAATGTAGGAATAAAAGAGTTCTGCTGTTAATGTAGGAATACAAGAGTTATGCTATTAATGTAGGAATACAAGAGTTCTGCTGTTAATGTAGATATATAAGAGTTCTGCTGTTAATGTAGATTTATAAGAGTTCAGCTGTTAATGTAGGAATGCAAGAGTTCTGCAGTTAATGTTTAAAATGCAAGAGTTCTGCTTTTAATATAGAAATACAATACAAGACTTCTGCTTTTAATGTAGATATATAAGAGTTTTGCTTTTAATGCTTTGCTGTTAATGTAGAAACACAAGAGTTCTGTGCAAGACTCCTGCTTTTAATATAGAAATACAATACATAAGTTCTGCTTTTAATGTAGATATATACATGAGTTTTGCTCTTAATGTAGATATACAAGAGTTCTGCTGTTAATGTAGATATACAAGAGTTTTGCTGTTAATGTAGGAATACAAGAGTTTTGCTGTTAATGTAGATATACAAGAGTTCTGCTGTTAATGTAGATATACAAGAGTTTTGCTGTTAATGTTGATATACAAGAGTTCTGTTGTTAATGTAGATATACAAGAGTTCTGTTGTTAATGTAAATATACAAGAGTTCTGTTGTTAATGTAACAATACAAGAGTTCTGCTGTTAATGTAGGAATACAAAAGTTATGCTGATAATGTAGACATACAAAAGTTCTGCTGCTAATGTAGAGATACAATAGTTCTGCTCCTAATGTAGATATACAAGAGTTTTGCTGTTAATGTAGATAAATAAGAGTTCTGCTGTTAATGTAGATATACAAGAGTTTCGCTGCTACTTTAGGAATACAAGAGTTCTACTGTTAATGTAGATATATAAGAGTTCTGCTGGTAATGTAGAAATACAAGAGTTCTGCTGTTAATGTAGAAATACAAGAGTTCTGCTGTTAATGTAGATTTATAAGAGTTCAGCTGTTAATGTAGGAATGCAAGAGTTCTGCCGTTAATGTAGGAATGCAAGAGTTCTGCTGTTAATGTAGAAATACAAGAGTTCTGCTGGTAATGTAGATATACAAGAGTTCTGCTGTTAATGTAGATATACAAGAGTTCTGCTGTTAATGTAGATATACAAGAGTTCTGCTGTTAATGTAGATATACAAGAGTTCTGCTGTTAATGTAGATATACAAGAGTTCTGCTGTTAATGTAGGAATACAAGAGTTCTGCTGTTAATGTAGGAATACAAGAGTTCTGCTGTTAATGTAGGAATACAAGAGTTCTGCTGTTAATGTAGATATACATGAGTTTTGCTGTTAATGTAGATATACAAGAGTTCTGCTGTTTATGTTTAAATGCAAGAGTCCTGCTTTTTTACAAAGAAATACAAGAGCTCTGCTGTTAATGTAGAAATACAAGAGTTCTGCTGTTAATGTAGAAATACAGGAGTTCAGCTGTTAATGTAGGAATGCAAGAGTTCTGCTGATAATGTTGATATACAAGAGTTCTGCTGTTGATGTTTAAATGCAAGTGTCCTGCTTTTTATAAAGAAATACAAGAGCTCTGCTATTCTTGTAGAAAAACAAGAGTTCCATTTCATACAGAGCATCCTGAGACTTTAGAACTTGCTTTAAATATTTGTAAGCTATTAAGTATTTTAGTTGTCTGGAATTTCTCAATACCTTTTCACAGATGTTTGTGTGTATGGGTGTATGTTATATACATTCTTAATGTTTGGTTAAACAATAAGTACTGTTGTAAAAATGTAGTTTCTTGCATTTTAGTGTTTGGATTTTAGTAGAATTTATTGAAGCTATGCCAGCGTGAGTAAATAACAGCAGTTATTTCATATGAAAAAAAAATTTAAACAGCATTTTATGTTTTAATTCTGTATTTTCAAATGTGTTAAAAGTGCATGAGAAAACTAAAACCATAGTTTTGTGAGTTTCCACCTTGTAAGATTTGAACCTGCAGTCTGATGAATTTTTGTAATGGGTTTAACCTGCTTTGAATTTGGAGCAGTCTATTTAGATTGAGGGATTTCTAAATGAAGTACTTAAATTGTGCGAACCTGGTCACATTGTACTGGTATGCAAGCTGACAATGGCTTTTTGTCAAGTCTATGAAATTGTTGTTGTAAGATGTATGTGGATATCTCCTCCACTCTGAATCTGACAATTTGCTTGAGATGACAACATATTTTGACTAACCTGTTTTAATTATAATAATAATAATGTCTACATGACATTGCTAGCATTTAAAGAGTTTAAGTCCCAAATATAAATCATATAAGATATGAACCAG